TATTTCTTTGGATTCATCTACTGGGTTTTCTTGAATTTCGGGTGCAACTTCAGGTGCGGTCACGGTTGGTACTTCACGTGCCACAATGGGTATTGTCTCCAATTGATGAGTACCCATGTCACTTGTTTCTTCTATCTCCCGCAACACATTTTCTTCAAAGATATTGTTAGAATTATTTAAATTTGAGTTACCTCCCTTATCTTTGACTTCTTTGTTGTTGCTTTCATCGAACACAACATGGATTGATTATTCTACCACCATTGTTGATTTATTGAAAATTCTGTACGCCTTGCTGGTAGATGAATATCCCAAGAATATTCCTTCGTTCGCACGTTCATCAAAAGCCTTTAAATAAGACTTTCCATTAACAAGTACAAAACATTTACATCCAAACGTATGGAAATAAGTGAGGTTGGGTTTCCTCCCTTTCCATAATTCGTATGGTGTTTTGTTATATGACTTGTGGATTAGACTGCGACTTTGAGTATAGCACGCCGTATTGATAGCTTCTGCCCAAAATCTTTTTGGTAGATCGGCGGCTGATATCATGACACGTCCAGCTTCTTTGAGTGTCCTGTTTCTTCTTTCAGCTACTCCATTTTGTTGCGGCGTTCGTGCGGCAGATAGTTGGTGTAGAATCCCTTGTGAATTGCAATAGGATTGAATCACGCCATTCACGAATTCGGTTCCACGATCGGTTTGAATTGTTGCAATCTTCATGTCTTTTACGACTTGTAGTTGCTTTAGTAGCTCCGGTAACTGCGATTCAACTTCGTTCTTCTTCTTTATGAATAACGTCCAAGTGTACCTGGAAAAATTATCAACAACAACCAAAGTGTATTTCTTACCACTTATACTTACTGGGTCTACTGGACCAAATAAATCCATGTGCAGTAGACTTAGAGGTCTTGATGTTGACTCTTGAGCTTTGGATTTGAATGATGACTTGATTTGTTTTCCCTTCTGGCATGCATCGCATATTTGATCCTTTTTGAATGCAATGTTGGGCAATCCATCGACTAGCTTATTTTGTGCAAGCTTATTGATGGTTTTGAAATTTAGATGATTTAGCCTTCTGTGTCATTTCCAACTTGCTTCATTTGAATTGCTTGCCATCAAACATATAGAGTCCTTCGTTGTACTCCAATCAACAACATACATATTTTTCTTTCTCGATCCGGCTAGTACAACTTCCTTCGTAGATTCGTCTTTGACTTGACATTTATCTTTGAAAAATTCTACGAGATAGCCTTTGTCGCAAAATTGGCTTGTGCTAAACAAATTGAACTTTAATCCTTCGACAAATGAAACATCTTCAATTCGTAAGACATTCTTCACAATTGTTCCGGTGTCTTTTGTTGTTCCATATCAATCGTTTCCTCCAAAAACTACTTTTGGTCCTCCGATACTTTTGAACTCAACTAGACTAGCTTTATTGCCGGTCATGTGTCGAGAGCATCCGCTATCGAAATACCAAATTTCCTACAATAAGATTAATTATTCTTAGGTACCCACATTTGTTTGGGTCCTTTTGTGTTAGTAATTTTTGGCATCCAAATCCACCTAGATCCCATTGATCCAAGAGTAGGTGATTTGTAACCATTAAAAACTTTATAATCATAACGCACTTTCGAATAACGATTCGGTGCGGGTTGGGAAGCTGATAGTTGCTTGATTCTATGAAATAGAGCAAATCTGGACTTGGTCCATGGTTTGTCTTCAAGCGGCCAATCTTCTTCTGAGGGATATAATCTCCCAGCCCCAATTCTTGGAATTCTTCCCATTTTCCTATGAGGTTTTATTGCACTAGACTCGTTGGTTCTCCTTTGAGATACAAATTTTTGCCTTTTCAAATTGTGTTGCCTTACCAAGATATTATCATGATGATTCGGCCTTGCAACATTTTTCTGAGCATTAATTTTGTTTCCAACTCCTTGTCTCATTGTGCTATGTTGACTTTTCACAAATTTTACCACTGGAACTTTATTTATTAAAGTAGTAGTAGAATTAGTCAACTTTTGAGGGGTTTCAGAACATGATGGATCGTAGCCTAGTCCGGCTTTATCTCCAGCGGGTTTTTGCATGTTTACCATTTTATCCATTATTTTGGATGAATGCGTAAATGATGCGATTATTTCCCGAAGGTTATGTTCTTGAACCTCTCTTGCTTTGCACTCTTCTTGAAGTCGAATATTTTCGGCTTTCAATTTACTCATTTCATTTAGAGCATTTTGCAATTTTTGTGCCATTTCTTCCTTTTCAAGGATTAACGTATTATTGCGCTCTTTGATTTGAGTATGAGTGGCCATGACTTTTTGACAATCTTCCATAAGACTTTGAAATGATTCTTGAGTCTCGAAAGAGGTGTCAACGGAACTAAAGGAACTAAAAGAACTAGAAGATACCTCTTCGTCGATTTCGCGCGCCATTAAACATTCCTCATGTTCGGATGTCTTGCCAACTAAGCATAGAAGCGCCGTATCTTCTTGTGATGAATCACTTTCGTCACTGGATGATTCTTCGGATTCGCTTGCTTCTAGCGAATCACTTATCAAAGCTTTTCGTTTATCCTTCTTGAATCTCTTTTCCTTCGACTTGTATTCTTCCTGCGAAGGGTTAGTAGCATTCGAATTTTTGCTTACCTTGGGGTGTGGACATTCTGCCATAAAGTGTCCAGGCTTTCTACAATTGTAACACGCATTTGTGTTATCTTCGACTTGTTCTTTCCTTGGTCTTCTAAACGAGCTTCCTTGTGGTGAACTCTTGAATTTGTTCTTTCGCATGAACTTTTTGAATTTCCTAACAAATAAGGAAAATTGTTCGTCAGATGAAAAATCATTATTTCCTACTGACCTTGATGTAGACGGTTGATCGGCCATTAGTGCGGATGTTCGTTCATCGCGTTCTTCTTCAATTCGTGTCTTCATCTCGAACTCGTACACCTTGAGATCACTAAAGAGTTTATCCGTAGATAACGTCTTTAGATCTCTATGATCTCGCATCGCGGTTACTTTCATGTCCCAATTAGAAGGTAGTCCACGCAATACTTTGAGTGATATTTCCTTCTGGGAGATGGTTTTGCCAAGATCACTTATTTCTCCAAGAATCTTGACTATGCGTGCTTCCATATCGGTAATACTTTCGTTAGAAAGTATTTTGAAATCTTCGAATCTTTTCATGGCGATGGTTAGCTTGTTGTCCTTTTCTTGTTCGTCGCCTTCACCGATACTAATGAGAGTATCCCATATTTCTTTTGCCGTAGTGCACTTTCGAATCTTTGGAAAGATGGTGTCATCGACCGCTTTGAACAAAATGTCCTTGGCAATGTTGTCCAAGTTATTTCGCCCTCTATCTTCACTAGTCCACTCCATTTTTGGCTTTGGAACATATTGTGGAGCATTTGGATCTCGTGCGGTAGCGGTATTAGCTTCCATGATCTTGATAGGGCCAGTGGTGATGACTTCCCACATTTCATCATTTAAAGCAGATAAGTGTACCTGCATACGTATTTTCCAATTATCAAATTTATCAAGTGAGAAAAGCAAATTTTGAGCAAGAACCATATCTCTCTTCATCTTGAAGTTTTGAGATATATCAAGCAATCATGAAATGACTCAAATAGACAACTGCTCTGATACCACTTGTTGGTCCCGAAAGGGTGGCGAGAAGTCTAGGGGGGGGTGAATAGACTTCTATAACTTTTCAAGCATTTCTCAAGCATACAACACTTTGGTAATTTCAACTCTAAGTAACAAGCATAAACAAGTTAATCAACTTAGAGTGTGCACAGCGGAATAAGTAGCGATAAAGTGTTATGCTTTGATTGTGTAGTGCTCAAAGAGAGATTCTATACATGCAACACGTTAGAAACACTTGATATAGATTAGGGATGATGTATGTAAAATTTCACTTGCATGCAATCGAGGGAACTATCAAACCCAGGCAGTGTTAGTATTATTATTATTGTTATATTATATTCATGTAATATAGTTGTGTAATATGTGGTGTGTAGTGAGTCTAGTCTATTAGTCAGGGCAGTTAGAGAATAGTTATTTAGATATCTTTTGTATTCCTATTCTCTGGTTAATCTACGAAGAATTATCTCTAATCTGGTATCAGAGCCTTCAATTCCGGACAGAGACCCCTGATTATGTACAGGTTCTGCTCCATGAGCGACAATGGACGCCCGGCCTGGATGAGTGACTCGACAAGGACTCCGGCACGCACGATGTAGTCGGCGATGGTGGCGTTGCCCTGTCGAAGCTGCTGGAACTGCCCAAGGAGGTTGATGCAGCGCGCCTCGCTGGTGGAACCAAGCGCAGACGAGATGGCAGCCCAGATGTCGGCGGAGGTATCCCGTCCGAGAGCGAGGTGTAATACCTCGTCCGACATTGCAGAGATGAGCAAAGACACTATCGTCTGGTCTTGCTTTATCCAGGCGTGGTATGCTAGATTCGGAACCAAGGACGCGGGCGTGGCCGATGTGGAACTGCCGGTAGTGGATGGCGCCGGGATCATCTCCGGTGGGCACGGGTGGCTGCCGTCTACGAAGCCGATGAGCTCCTGGCCACGAAGAAACGGAAGAAGCTACATCCTCCAAAATAGGAAATTCTTGGATGTAAGCTTCATGGTGACATAATGATGTGCACCGGTGAGAGCGTTGCCGGCAGCCGGCGTGGGTGAACCGACGGCGGAATGGGTACGCTCTGAGGAGTTGGTCGACATATTTGGGTAGGGGAGGGAGATTTCACGGTGGAGATAGGAAGAATTTGGTTGTTTCCGATAACCTGTCGTCTGATACCAGACTACCGGGACACGTGTGTTATCTACAACGGTCCCTATATGGCTTGAAACAGGCACCGAGGGCGTGGTTTAAACGGTTACATGACTTCCTATTATCTGCCGGGTTTGTTTCGTCCAAGACCGACGTATCCCTCTTTTATTATACATCAGGGGCCTCACAGGTATTCCTTCTGGTTTATGTAGACGACATAATAATGATGGGCAATGACTCTAAATTGGTCAGCACTTTGTTACACCAGCTCGCTACAGTGTTTAAGATTCGAGATCTTGGCGCACCAGGTTTCTTCTTGGGTATTGAAATGGTCACAACAGGGAATACTGTCATACTCTCACAGCGGCGTTATATGTCAGATATCCTAGGGCGGTCCGGCATGATTGATTCTAAACCACTTACCACACCTGCAGCTGTGACGAAGTTGGTAACTCCGTCCGATGAGTTATTTGATAATCCCACGCAATATCGCCGTATTGTCGGCGCGTTACAGTACTTGACTATCACGCGGCCTAATCTTGCTTTCGCTGTCAATCGTCTCTACCAGCATATGCATTCGCCCACAACGGAACATTGGGGTTTAGTAAAGCGGGTACTACGCTACATTAAGGGGACAATTGATTACGGGTTGCGTCTCACTCCGTCATCCTCATCTGACATCCACGCTTTCTCGGATTCTGATTGGGCTGGCTGTCCGATAGATCGAAAGAGTACTAGTGGGTTTGCTGTTTATCTGGGTACTAATCTTATATCTTGGCAGTCGAAGAAGCAACGTACTGTGGCTCGGTCTTCCACAGAAGCAGAGTATAAAGCCCTCGCTGATGTATCGGCCGAGGTGACATGGGTAGTCTCTTTATTACGGGAGCTTGGACTACACTCTGGGGGTCCAACAACATTGTGGTGTGATAATCTAGGATCTACCTATTTGTGTGCTAATCCCGTGTTCCACGCTAGTACAAAGCATGTGGAAATTGATTATCATTTTGTATGAGATAAAGTTGCTTCAGGAGAGTTTGTTGTCAACTATGTTTCGACCACTGATCAGCTAGCTGACATCTTCACCAAACCGCTGTCTACATCAAGGTTCTGTGCTCTGCGTGACAAGCTCAATGTTGTGTCTTCCACACCTTGTGCTTGAGGGGGTGTGTTAGTATTATTATTATTGTTATATTATATTCATGTAATATAGTTGTGTAATATGTGGTGTGTAGTGAGTCTAGTCTATTAGTCAGGGCAGTTAGAGAATAGTTATTTAGATATCTTTTGTATTCCTATTCTCTGGTTAATCTACGAAGAATTATCTCTAATCGACAGATAAAGATATGCAATAAATCGTAACGGGTTAGTTCGCAGATGATATAAGCATGCACGAAATTAAATGAGCAGTAAGTAAATAGAGAGAGAGATTTATAGTGGTTCAGAGATGGTGTAATTCTCCTAGTCCGCTCTTCTCCTTTCACTTCAAGGAGGAAATTCACTATTCTTCGATCACCAAGATACAATAGTGAATAAGTGTCCAGCGACACTTCTCCGAGTGCTTCGCACAAAGCTACACTCCACCAAGGTTTTTCGCAAGCTCCTCTTGTTACTCCGCCTTCCCGAGTACTTCGCACCAAGCTGTACTCCTACACCACGAGAACTACGCACAAAGCTACGCTCTCACTTGGTTTTCACAAGCTCCTCTTGTTACTCTGCCCTTTACAACCGAGTGCTACGCACAAAGCTACACTCAAACTAGGTTTTTCACACTCTCTAGTTACTCTACCCCTTTTCTACACTCAGTAGAAGATTTACAATGAAATACACAGATTTCTACTCTCAGACTTGAATACTATCGTATATAGCTCAATATATCACTTGATGTATGGTTGGATATTCTTCGTTGTTTGATCTCTCTTTTTCCCCATACTTGTCTTCAAGTCTGCTTGGAAAATTTATAGCTAATGAAAACTATTTGTCTGTTGATCAACTTTCGATCTCGATCGTTCATTTTGAATTGTAGTTGATCAAATAATTGTGCCAACTTGGTTTGCAAAGTCTTTTCGCCGTCTGTCAGAAGATTTGAATAATCTTGTCGTTGCTCTTCATTAATCTCACAAAGCTTTTCTTGGAATGTGTAGCCTCCAAATTTGAATTCATCTCAGGCTTGACTTTGGTTGAATTATTGATCTAATATGCCAAGTTGATCAAATAATTTATATGTTGATTCTTGCTTATCTGATATGCCAAGTTGATCAAATAATTTATATGCTGATTCTTGCTTGAGTATTTAAAAGATTTCCTTCGTGTATATGCGGGTTTCTCAAAAAACATTCTGTCTAACAATTGTATCATGATGATGTCATAGCTTGTTTGGTGATGTCATATCCCGATTGTATATCATGTCCATCTTGTATATCATGAACTAGTATCATGTTAGGCTAGTATCATGAACTTGTTATCATGTCTTCATAAAAAACTGCTTCAAATAAGCAATTTGAACCATGTTCATCACTTGGTTACTTTGTAACACTCTTTCCAACTCAGCTAGTTTAACCTTTTGATATATATCATGATTTAAATCCTATTGTCTCATCTCTTCACGTGGGTTCCATAACTCTTCTAAAAGCATATCCCGTTGTGACGTCATCATCCGATAACACAAGATATCATGTTATAAAAACTATTTCTTCATGATATCACTTCCAATATCATACTTCGTGATATTATTTTGCAATATCACTTCGTGTCTACCACTTCATGATAGCACTTCACCGTAGCTTGTCTAAGCCTTTTTAGACAAAAATGCTCTCAACGGGAATCAAACCATAAACCATTATATTAAGTATTAAGTGTGTTTCAACAGGTCTTCTTCTATCTCATCTATCTCAACCTTTGATGACTTGAATGCTTCATAAATGTGTTAAGCTATGATCCCGCTTACATTTATTCTTCCATCAATAAGGCTTTCACGTAGGCTTCATGGCAGTGGTGCACCATACTTTGTGAACCAGAACTGACTCAAATAAAATAAAATTGGGGTCTACAAAATATATTTGGCTCATCAAAACTTATACTATATATTCCTAACATACATATATATATATATATATATATATATATATATATATATATATATATATATATATATATATATATATATAACTGGTGAGTATCCTCGCCTGTCACGCGGGAGACTCGGGTTCGATCCCTGGCAACGGCGTCTATCTTTTTCGCTCTACAAAGAAAGGAAAACAAAGCAAAATCATTCCTAGCTGATTGCCGAGGGGTGTTGCACAAGTTATTGTAGTATATGGGTGAGTATCCTCGCTTGTCATGTGGGAGACCTAGGTTTGATCCTCGGCAACGGCGTCTCATTTTTTTGCTCTTCAAAGAAAGGAAAACAAAGCAAAATCATTCCTAGCTGACCGCCGAGAAGTGTTACACAAATTGTTGTAGTATAGTGTTGAGTATCCTCGCTTAACATGTAGGAGACCTAGGTTCGATTCTCGACAATGGTGTTTTACTTTTATTCTCTTCAAAGAAAGGAAAACAAAGCAAAATCATTCCTAGCTGACTGTCGAAAAATACCACATAAGTCATTGTAGTATAGTGGTGAGTATCTTTGCTTGTCAAGCTGGAGACTTGGGTTTAATCCTTGATATTAGCATTTAACTTTTTTGCGCAAAGGGGTGCCGCACAACGAACCGCACAAGTCGTTGTAGTATCGTGGTGAGTATTTCCGCCTGTCACGCGGAAGACTCGGGTTCGATCCTGATGGCATATTTTACACTCTTATTTTATGTACATCATTATAATAATTTTGCATTAATTATTTAATAATTAGTTCTTTTTAGAGTTTAACAATTAATGAGTTAAATATAGTAATAAATCTCTATATAATATATAATATATAATATATAGAATACATACTAATATATATATTACGTACTGCACTAGTATTTGTATTTATATATATATATATATATATATATATATATATATATATATGTATTATAAATAAATTAAGTAGTAAAATAGTCCAATTCTTAAATTCAATTCTTAGAATGTAACAAACAATTAAACTTTATATTTTATGTTGCTTTGTACAGGACGTGCGGCAAAGGGGCTTCGTCAAAATTCGGCAAATTATGTTGTGCATCCATGGTGCATACGGATGCAAAAACGACGTCGTTTTAATAAAATGTGCGTCTTCCCTTAAAAAAAAAAATCAGGTTTGATTCCCAGCAACAACATATGAACTAAAATTTCATAATCGATGAACTATAATTCCATAATCTAATCTATGAACTAAAAATTCCAGAATGAATGAACTAAAATTTCATAATCTATAAACTAAAACTTCATAATCGATGAACTACAATTCCATAATCGATGAACTATAATTCCATAATCAATGAACTATAATTCCATAATCTATGAACTAAAATTCCAGAATGAGTGAACAATATAATGTTGTTGCTGGGAATCGAACCTGAATTTTTTTTAAAGGAGAGACGCGCGTTTTTTAATAAAACGACGTCGTTTTGGCATCCGTATGCACCATGCATGGTGCATACGGATGCACAGCATAACTATCCTCAAAATTCTGCGCAGATTAAGGCGAGACCGGGCAGCAGCGAAGATCCATTCCTACGGCGCTTAATTAAGAATTGGACGGCAGAAATCAATTCGAACCTATATTGAGAATTGTATAAATAGTAGAAGAATTCTCTTGTAGAAAAGTTCATTCTTTCCCTCTCTAGATTATTCATTAAAGTTGTTATCAATGTCCATTCGTGACTAATTTCTTTAGCTTGGTTTAGTGAATTGAAGCCCCGTAATGGATTATGCTGTAAGATTATTTATTTATTTTTTATTATATATGTTTTCTATGCATTTGAGTATTAAATATTCTGCTAAATTATTGGAATAGTTGTATCATTTAATTGCTAGGAGGCCTACTAGTTATTTATTTATTTGATATAATTATTTGCTATATTAGTTAATGTTGTGCTACAAATTATTCTAATATTCAGTAGCAACTGAGGTTAATTATTAACGGGTTAGTGATAATTGGTCTCGGGTAGATTATTTTTCTAAATTAAATGCAACCGCTTGTGTTTGTGTTATTTAGTTTGTCGGTTTTCCTAGATCATATTGCTGCTATTAAATTAAATCTATAGCGCTTGTCTTAGATTATTTAGTAGTTAGGGGTAATTAAACTGTATGTGCTTTAGTTACCTACAACTAAGGGAAAACGGAAATGAAATAATTTCACGACAAATTTCAACTGCATATTAATTACTTTTTGAATCAATGAACAATGTTAAATTCCGGTGGTGGATCTTTACTAACCAATGTTTTCTATTATAAGTGCTTTCAATATATTATTTTCATTGCTTTATTCATTCATTTAAATTTCTTGTTTATTTAAATTCTCTTTTATTTAATCTTTATTCTCGTTATATTCCAAACCCCCCATCATTTCCTTAAGCACAAAAGTTAAACTAGTTACTCCTCGTGGGATCGATCCTTACTCCCACCACTACGTTTGTAAGGTTCTAATTTGGGAGCCTACGACAGCTCGCCAAATTTTGGCACCGTTGCCGGGGAGCTTTTCTAGCTTATTTTGTGTTTATTTAATTAATTATTTGTTTGTTTGTTTTTCCATTTGTCCCAGGAAAAAATTAAAAAAAAAATTGCCTTCATTACTCTACATAATTGATGCAATATCTTTCGTGGTTTATGCCTATAACTTGATCTGCTAATCGAGAAATATTGCCATACGATCCAGAAATTGAAAGAACTATACGCAGGTGGAGGAAACAAGCTTTGAGGAAATTGAAGTTTAGTGATCTGGCTACCGATTCTACGAATTCTGATTTAGAAGAAGAACTCATGGCTCAAAATCGAACATTAAAAGAGTTTGGAGCCCCAAATTTAGATCAACAACCATTATACATCACTTTCCCTGCTTTAGATTCTGATGTGCAATTTGAATTGAAATCT